TGCTCTTTATATGATTCTACATCATTTCAATTACTGCCCTTTTAATTTTTGCATCTTTATAATTTTATGCACTTTATAATTTTCTATATCTAGTTTATATTTTTCTATACATGTTCAAAGTTAATTGTTAATATTTGGTGACTTTAGTGAAATAGTCAGTTCATTTTGTATAATTGGATTCACAATAGAATATATGGGGTTGGATTCACAAGAGAATATCATGGGATATGAGGTGTGGGATGTACATTCGTGTAAGTTAACTAGAACCCGTGATCACTAGATGGTGCCATACGTTGGTGTACAAGGGGCCGCACCCCTTTGTGAGGTCCATGGGGCAACACCCCTAATTTTATAAAGAATGTGGTTGGATAATTGAGCTTCTTAATGTTTTTTAGAAGCTTTTGATATTCTGAAATGGTTTTGACTCGGATGCCTTAATTCCGAGGAGCCAGAGCTTCTGACTCTGAGGAGTCAGAGCTTTTGATTCTGAAGAGCTAAGCTCTTGAACCGGAAGGGCTTCCGACTCTGAAAAATTAGAAGATTTGATGCCTTCTGATCAATGTAAGTCGTTTTTTACTGCTGTGCCGTTAACCGCCCACTAATACTCTAGTGATTTCCATTTAACGGGCTAATATTTTTGACTTTGATTTAGGAATCGTTACGATTCTCAAAGAATAAAATGAAACGAATGCGAGGATCGTGATTGAGATTATCCTCGAGTTGATTTCGTGAAACCACGGAAAATTAGTGTCCAAATACAACTTAAGGAAATCTAGCTCTTACATGATCGCACGGTTTTATTCAAGTTTTTTCCGTCCTATATACCTATTATTTCTCTGAATTTTATAACATTCCTCAAACATATGTTCAGAGTTATTTTTTAATTTCTTATTTATGCTTTCCTTTGAATTTAGTTTTAATGTAGGGATTAATTAATTTGCTTGTTTATCCTAATTTTAATGTTTAGTGTAATTAGMTTCAAAAACAATTCGTTATTTGGTGTTTAATTCGACATTATTTTGATTGGCTAATTGTCGTTTTGGGTCGATGTTTTGGTATTGACCAATTGTTAACATTGAGATTCAATTGATAGATTTTTCCACAGCTGAAGTTAGTGTTTGGTTAATTGATAATTTTGATCATGTGTTCACTTAACATGAAAATTAGAGACAAAGATTGGGAAAAATATTTGTTTTAAGGTTAATGTGTTTAACTTTTGCATATTATAGTAGTAAAAGTGGGTTTTGGTTCAAGAAAACTAGTCCACTTCTGAAGAGGCAGCTTGAACTAGTTTTGCTTAAAAAATCCTCACCATTATTGAAAATCAGAATGGACATTACCCAATGCCCATTCATAGGTAGTTTGTCTCGTTTTGTTTGGTTCCTTGATGGTTTCATTCATTTCTTGTTTTCTTTATTTGTTTCTGTCTAATTACTTTAATTATCAATCCATCAATTAAATTCAATTTGACAAATCCTTGTTTAGTCCATTGCCTTAACCATTAGATCAACCTGTATGTTACACCACCCATACACTTGCGGCATGAATATAGAACTTATATCAATTCATCAAAAGGCCTTTGGCCTAGCGGTATGTGAGTCTTTGGCGAGGTCATGGTTCAAATCTCAACAAAGGTGAGAAGGGTGTGTGAATTTATTTGTTTTATTTGCCATATATAAATATTATATACTTAAAAAAACTTGCATCAATTTACTGGCGACTTAGCCAGGGAGAAAATTAGGCAAATATGGAATTCGTTCCGGACTTACTTGTAGGAGTCTTTATCTCATTTCCATTTTTGTCATCACATTGCTTATTTCATTTTATAACTGTGATTCTATTACGTAGCAAAGGTAATTAAACACATGATTGAAGAGATATAAAGTGTAACAATTCTAAGACACAGTAGGCCGTTGGAAACATTACTTGGTGAAGGAAACTTTGGTCGAAAATGTTTATGGTTGGAAACACMTTACCCAAGACAATTTCCAACGTCAWGAGGCTTATATATGWGGTAGAAGAATAGCAATTAATATATGTACGCACTTTGGTATTTATTTATAATCATAATTTGTATCGAGGACAAAGAATAACGAATATTTAAGACCAGAATTCAATCAAAAGATGAAAATGAAATATGCAAACCAAGATCCAGCGTAGGGTTAAAGGAATCTAGAGTTCTTGCATTCAGCAGGTAGACCATTGGGAAACCGTTTGCGGTCACTGCAGTAGTTGTAGATCATGTGCTTGTTTTGCACCCATCTAATCCTGTTTCGGCCAGCTGCATCAAGTCCTTGAGTACTCCACGCCTGGTTGTCAGATTCAGAGCTTGTTGACATTGAATTAGTACCAACTCTTTTGGCATTGGCATTGAATTTCCTGTAGGAAGCAGTAAACGGTGCTTTAGTCCAGTCTGCCTTCACACGCCCACCTTGGGTTGCCCAGTCATCTGCGTTCCACAGGCTCGCATACACCCTCATGGGTTGGCTCTTGGGAAATGGGACTCCAGAAGCCTCATGGTTATTGAACACCCTCACTGGTATGTTATCTATCAAGAAACTGCAAAACCAGAGATTTTCAAGATCAGTTTCATGGAATCTTATCATCTCATCAGTGTAAATGTCCCTGCAGAAACATTTGAGGAAATCGGAGAACCAAATATGTACTTTTCATGA